AAATTCAAACACAACCCCTTCGAAAAGGCTGCGCCGCTAGCAGAACGCATGCGCCCGAAGACCCTCGATGAGGTGTGCGGACAGGACCTCGTGGGCCTTAACGGCGTGCTGCGGGGCTTAATCGAACAAGATCGTGTGCCCAGCATGATTCTCTGGGGTGCCGCAGGAACAGGAAAGACGACCATTGCGCGAGTTATCGCGGGAATGGTGGGATCTCGCTTCGTGGAGATCAATAGTACGTCTTCGGGGGTGGCGGAGTGTAAGAAGATCTTCGCCGAAGCCAAAAGTGAGCTGGCCCTCACGGGTCGCAAGACAATCATATTCTGCGACGAGATCCACAGATTCAGCAAGAGCCAGCAGGATGTCTTTCTCGGTCCTGTCGAGGCCGGACATGTCACGCTGATCGGTGCGACGACGGAGAACCCCAGTTTCAAGGTGCAAAACGCTCTTCTATCGAGATGTCGGACCTTTACTTTGCAGAAGCTCACCGACCAGAATATCTGCGAGATCCTTCAACGGGCACTGGAAGCGGAACGCGACAATTATAATCCCACGGACCTCGTGAATGAAGAATTGATCAGGTACCTTGCTGCCTTTGCTGACGGTGATGCTCGCACTGCCCTCAACCTTCTTGAGTTGGCCATGGACCTCTCCCGGCGGCCAAATATGACTCTAGATGATCTGAAACAATCGCTCACAAAGACCCTTGTCTACGATCGAGCCGGTGATCAGCACTACGACACCATCTCCGCATTCCACAAATCGGTGCGAGGTTCCGATCCTAACGCCGCATTATACTACCTCGCGCGCATGCTCCAGTCAGGGGAAGATCCGCTGTACATTGCCAGACGGATGATTGTGATCGCAAGCGAGGACGTCGGACTGGCTGACAATTCGTTGCTCCCACTCGCAACCGCAGCATACACAGCGTGCGAAAAAATCGGTATGCCCGAGGCGAGAATCAACCTTGCCCACGTCACTGTGGCATTGTGTCTTGCCCCAAAGTCAACCAGGGCGTATCGAGCACTTGCGAATGCGATGCACGCTCTCGAAGAGCCCGGGATTGCAGGCCTACCTGTCCCGATCCACTTGAGAAACGCGCCGACGCGGTTGATGAAGGAATTGGGGTACGGAAAGGAGTACAAATACAATCCGGACTACGTGGACGGAAAGGTCAAGCAAGAGTATTTGCCTGACAGATTGAGGGGTCGAGAGTTCCTTGAAGAAAGAGACTTGGGAGAGAACACTGACAAGGACTTACTAGAAGAGGGAGAGCCAGGGAAGGCTGTTAAAATCGTCAATGGACTGGACGGCCATGGCTGAGAAAAGGTGGAGTGACGACTGGGACCCTGAAATCAAGGACTTTGAGCACAACAAAGTTTTCAACTTGCGAAGGCTGGGCCATTCAGTGGATACAGGAAGATCCCTCGCTTCCGGGCCGCTGTTCAACAAACGATATCAAAGTGAGGGAAGATACAATTTCAGCAGTTTCCGAGCCCGCGCCTGTTCTAAGCCTGGATCTCGTTTCGATGCGACAGTCCTATCAAGGCTATTTCCAGATCGAGACGACATTTCCTTCAACGTGCCATCCCCAGCAGATGCCATATGCTGGTCTCGGAATTTGCCCTCCATGTCCGGCAAACAGCGATGCGCCCACAGAAGCAGCATCGACAATTCACACTTCACGCTAACGAACACCCTAGCCATGGAGTATCCAGCCCGAAACCCCTACCCCTGCAAAGTCTCTTTTGTACTACCTAAACTCTGCGCTTGGGTACCCGTTTGTGGACATAGGAGACCACAGCAGACTGAGATTCAAATGAGTGGATGTCGGCTGTGCTGCTCTGTGAAGGATCCACGGGCGTTTCCTGAGCTGAGTTGAGAAAGTCTCGTGGGCAGTTTGCGGTGGACGTCCGTTTACATTCTTTCGCATTGGAAGAACACGAGCGGCGAACAGAACCATTCAATCTTGACAGAATTCAGCTCATCTTTCAAAGAGCGACATAACTACGAAACCCCTCCACGGTTCCACAACACGCACAAGATCCAATTTGCATTAAATGCATCGATGAGAAGACTCGTCGATGAAGAAGGACAAAGGCCAGACGAGTATAGAGGAGGAGACAAGTGGACTACTTCGCTGGGAGAGTTGGCAAATGAGAGATCTTATTGCCTCGTCACTCTGTAACGGGAATGTGCCATCTTCGCCTTGAGGACCAGGGGATGCTGACACGAGGCGCTGGCTTAATCTGTCTGCCTGGTATATACACATGTTCATGCTTTGGAAAGAATTGCCAACGCTGAGTTAGAGCATTTAGCCCTATGGTAATATGTTCCTCGTAGATCATCCGGTTTCACATACTAGCTCTGCAATACTGGGTATGTTTTCCGTCGTAGTTTCGAAAGCGCTCAATACAAGGTGATACAGTGCCTGTGAGGAACTTTCGTGGCTGACTCCTTCCCCTGGGCCGTGATTCTGACACATTTGTGGGTGTGACAGAGTGAGTTACGATTGTCTCTTACGCAGCTTCAATTGGTGGGGAAAGCTGCCTCGGTGGTTCATCGGCGTGCAATTCAGTGACACGTCAGGATCAGGTTGATCCTGCGCACCCTTCCCTTCAGGCTGCGCATCGCTTTCTCCCTGCAGGTTATAAAACCTCAACTCCATTCTTAACAAGCAAAATCTAAGGTCTAAAGATATTCCTGAAGATTGTCGGAACCTGGTCAGCGTTCCGTCGAGTACCCCGCTTCGTCCCTTCGCAGAATCCCTAAAAGTGAGGTGTCTGATCGTACAGACATGGCTGCGCCGCCGGAGATCACTTGCACCAACCTGTCGGGCAAGTTCGTCATGGTAGTTAAATTCCTGCTGTCAAGGGCCTGGGTCAATCTGACTCGTTACAAGAACAAAACCCTCTCAGATGATATCGATTCCATGCTCGCTCTCCAGGGCCTGAGCTGGCTCACGCGAACCGCCATCAGCTTGGCTACGGTCGTCGTACGTTAAGGATAGTATGATATTGGCCATCGAGGCTGACCTCCTGTAGCTTACCATCAAAGAATACAAGCAAGAAGACATCTACCACATCGACATCACGTCTGTGGCTTCGGGCCTTTCAACGACTCAAGAAAACCGCACGCTGGACTGGCAAGAGCGCGACCACCATGATCGCATATTCGGGAACTGCCGAGGCAAGTCAAGATTCTGGAAAACAGGTGAATACAAAATGGAGGGCCCGGGTACACAAGAAGACGCGGTGTTCTTGCAGGCCCAGAAACTCAAGGACGGGCAGACAGATTCCAAGTTTCTGGACGATGAACACGTTCAAAGCTGGGTGAAGAACATGGATGAGGCTGGCTGGCAGGCGGAGCAGAACTGGGGGTTTGAAGAGATCAACGGTGAACGGCGATACACTCGGCGAGTACTGGTCTGGAAGGGAAGCGAGTTTCGAAGAGCCCGCCTCGTGTATGACTATAAAGGACAGGCTGAGAAGAAGGAAGACGATGACGATGACCTGGCGTACGGCGAAGAATGAAGAGGGACGAATCACGCATGATAATCTTATATGCAGAGAGGACAATGATATCCAGAGAGACCAGCATGAAAACCATGCGCAGGTATGTCGACGAACCCGGAAAGTGAATGAATTGGCTGTCAGACCGTCCATTGCGCGGGAAGTTGGCGCTCCATTGATATCCCGGTGATAGCAAGGTTTTCCTAGAGCACAAAAATACACAAAGGTCAAACTCAGATATGCCTCGATACCTTCCATCCGCGTATCTCGCGAACTTGTACTTGTGTGTGTGCGTGTAGACATCCGCTCCGCATTATTTGGAAGACATTGCGTAACCCTCTGACGTCAAATGGCTGAACGGGCAGGACAAACTCTTTTCCGATCCGGGCGACCCTAATGAGCCATTTTTCGCGGGGTGCTTAAGGCTGCACCGAGTTATACAGGAAGTCATACTCAATGAGGCAGCTGTAGCGATGCGCTAACCCGCTTTTGCCCATTACATGCGCAGATGGAGGCAGTGCAAGTCTTCAGCTAGCCAATCCTCGGTTTTTCTTTTGGTGTTTGTACCTGAACACAAATATGGCGCCGAAAATACCTCACAAAGGCCGAAAACGACGCTTACCACGAGGCTCCGTCTATGTCATTGCGCCCGAAGCGATATAGTACAAACGTGCCTATATAACGGTGAGCCGGCCTTCTGGATCGAATAGTCGTTCGTGTCGGTGTCAGACCAGAAAGTTCACCTAAAATCATCATACGAGTTATTGCGAATTGAGATACCTTTTCCTCCACCAACGTTCTCGAAATAATCATCGACATATAGTTCCAGGACTAATATAGTGCTGTGACTACCGATAATAACTACACGTACGATCCAACCACCACCATCTCTCAGTATCTATCAGTCAAAAGAAAAAAAAAATGGCGTTTTTCCACCACAGCCACGAAATTGAAGAAGAGACATCCGACCGTCGCCGCACCAGCAGCAACAACTCTCTCCGCGACCTCCAAGCTCGAGCGTACGCCAAGTGGGTTGTGGCAGGCACAGTGAAGAAGAGCAGCAACCAGCACGCCGGCTTCGAGGCCGAACGGTCTCGACGACACTTTTGGCAGGAGGAGGCTGCTCGTTTTGGCATCGTGATGAGAACATGAGTTGTATCACCACCACCGCCGCCGCCGCTGCCACAGCATAGGAGGAGTTTTCGGGGTTGTTTTAGGAGAAAGGCAAGCCAAACCAAAGGACGATAGCGTGAGAGAAACGCACACTTGTCATGGCCATTATTATTGAGCTGGCAGTTGGTTTTGGTTTTGGTCTTGATTTGGGTAAGGGGTTGTAAAACAGCTTTGGAAAGTGATGGAATTTCTCAGCATTTGGCATCTATCTCATGATATGGTCCCACAGCACATCTGTATAAACAAAAAGACAAAATATGCCCCCAGACTTGGCTCGTTAAATTGCATTATCATCAACAGGCCCTTTACAGTCTTTCAAGTCCTAATGCCTATCCTACGTAGCAGCTCTTTCCGGAACTCTGCGGCACCAACTTTCATCCGGTCGGCCGCACCGCGATTCTCGACAAGTCGCCGCGTCAGGTACTGCATGCATTCCTGGATGCTGCCCCACGTCAAACACTTGTATACTCTGGGGATATAAGTGTTGGGAAGAGGCAGCGTGCTGTCCCGCTTGGTATTGTCGGCCATCTGGAGCAGCTCGCAGCCGATGTCGTCGGCCATGCCCTGCAGTTGCCCGAATTCCGGGACGACTTTCAGCTTTGATTCGGCTGCGAGGGTGGAGGCCAGTCGAGCTGCTCCCCGGATGGTGCTGGCATTGTGACCCGCGAGGAGCAGGTCGAGGTCTACCGACTCTTGGTCGGCCATGGCAGGAAACTTCCCGCAGAGGAGGTCCTCGACGATGCCGTTGTACGAGGCGTCCGTGTCGGCCTTTGTGTCGTGGATCGCCTCCCTGATGTCGTTGTTGATGTAGGCACCGCGCACGAGCTTGATGCCCAGCCGCCACCCTTCCTGGCGTGAAAGCTGGAGCTGGTGTTGGACTTTGTCGCGCGAGGATTTCAGGTAGGCTTGGATTGTGTTGTATATCAGGGCCCGGCGGCCGGGCTGGTTGTAGCGACGCATGAGATCAAAGGTCCATTGGTCGATGGCCGCCTGCAGGGTTTGCTGCTCCGCGTCGATCCAGATCCGGCAACCTTTGCTGGCAGCGCGTTGGCAGATCTTCTCCATGGCTTCGACGAACTTGGCCGGTGCCTTGTCACCTTTCATGAGGGCTTTTGTGATGTTCGTCCCCGCGCCGCTGTACCTGCATGTTGGTTGGCATTTCCTGTTTTCAAGCACCAAAAAGGGATCACCAGGTCGGACTTACTTGATGCCCAGCCAGTCGCCCTCGCCGATCATATCCAACGTGGCAAGGTTGCCATCTGCCCACTGCTCGATTTCCTTGTCCATTACCGCCGCCTTACTATCATCGTAGCCGACGAACTTGTCGCCTTCGACCTGGACTTCTCTGCCGTAGCACAAGACAACCCCGGAGAAGCCCAGCCGTCGAATCTCCGCGGACGTTTGGCCGATTTCCTTCTGGTTTCTACCGGCGCAGAACTGCTTGTAGACAAGAGGATGGACAATGGCGCGAACGAGTGGATTCCGGTCCGGGTTCAGCCATGCGGATTGGGAATGTGCGATTTTCTCGAATACAGCAAAACCTGGCCGGAAGAGCCACGGGGATGTGAAGAAGGTACTCAATAGCAAGGTGCGAAGGAGGCTTGAGGTCGAGAGACGCGCCAGGGGGTTCGTCACGGTGGTGTCGCCGGCATTGGTAGAAGCAGGAATTAACGGTTCTTTCGTTGTTCCCTGATTGATCACGGTCGGAGTGTGAGCGGAGGAGTGGGACCTCCGTTGACTGCAAGCAACGCGAAGGGGCTGTTGAACGTTTACTCGAGTCCGAAGAGTATTCGCGAGAGAGGAAGCCATGCCCAGGTGTAAAAGTTCAGTGAAATATTCCTGGACAACTAGTGGTAGTAGTCATCTCGAGCCATCTTATAGCGATGGACGAGCCAAGGGTCTCGGCTGGAGCACCGGGGTGTACGATAACACAGAGCATCGTGACCATGTACATAGAGGCGGGGAAGTTTGGCCCATCGACTGATATGCCTTGGTGGGTCATGTGGTGGCATGCTGGACGAACATGACCAGCACAGGTGTCTACCATTGAAAAGGGGGGGGGGGGGGTTCGGAATCTATGTAGCGAATAGGGTTAGTCAGGGCAAGAGACGGAAGTCATGGCCGTTGGAAAAGCACAATGCAACAAAATAAGAGATGCGATTCGAGAACAAGAAAAGAATTACTGTTTCTGGAAGTATAAACAGCCCGAGATGGCGGGGCATCGGACAAGGGTGTTACCGGATTCATGCCCCGCCTCAAGTCCCCCTCCTCGGGATAATTGATTTGAGTCGATTCTGACAGGTGGCAGTCCTCTACCCTTCTCCAGACTTCGGGCAGCCATCCGTAGCGTTGCCAATCCTTTTGTGTCTGCCCAATGCCTAGTATGCCGTCGTTGCAGTTGTGGTGGAGGTATCTTCCCATCCTGCCAGCTGTATTCGGTACTTATCGACAATCCTAGAGAGACGAAATGGAGCGATTGAGAATATGATAGGTAATTCGATGAATGACGGATATGCGTTCTAATTCCAGCAGACGAGCAACATTAAGTCAATTTCTATGTGGACGGGTTGATTCTCTATCCTGAAATAGCCTTCCATACACAGACTAACTACAGGCGTGCTTTGAGCATTTTCTCCTTCTCGGCCACAATGTCCTTGACCTCCCCAGTCATTCCGATCCTCCAGCTCACCTCGTCGCCCCATTCTTTCCCCCCTTTGCCTTGACTTTGCTTCCACTGCCACCTGGACAAGACCTGCTTTCCGTCTTCCAGGAGCTTCAGGGCCCATTGGCCGACAATTGGCATCATCTTGAACCCGTGTCCAGAATCCCCAGACATGACGATCAGAGAGTCTCCTGTGCCTGGCACGAAGTCAATGCAGTACTCCGAATCTGAAGTATCTGCAAACCAGCACATCTTCTTGTCCACAAACGGGCGGTCGGCTAGCCACGGTAGCGTTTCTTGAAGTAATCTCCTCAGCTTACGCTCATCGGAAAGCGGGATATAATCCTTTGGCGAGTTTAGTAGATCGGCAGGAGGTAGTGAGACCCCAGTGCCCGTTTCTGAGTTGATATATCCGGCGCCAAGAGGACACAGCTTGAGGAGTCTGGTGGCCGGATCAGGTTCGAAAAAGAACCCTAGGTCTCTGATGTTGAGGACTGGGATTCCACGTAGGTAGTCGCATTCCCGTTCCGTGAGTTGGACGTGAGCTACGGACCAGCATTTGGCGACAACAAATGACCCCACACTTGGGAGAAGCGTGGCTGCCGAAGCTCCTAGGCAGACGATAGTACGTCGGGCATGATGGACCTGTCCGCTCGCCACCTGGAATCCTATGCAGCGCCTCTCGGCAGAGCTCTCGTTGGCGCTGTATAGAAGCTTCACGGCTCTACCATCTTTGGGTCCCAGGACAAACTTGACTCCTCTACCAACGAGATGCCGATGTGTGTCTATCATGGCGTTGGACGAATGGGCATATCCGGCAAGGCGATTGAAGTATCCTTTGAAGCCGCGCATGGGCCCGGAAAACTGCCAATATACCTTCTTGAAGTCTTCATGCTCATTCAGCATGGTGATGCCTGGAGCGAAGACCGAGTGGTCCTTGACCGACACAAGGGCGTCTTGCAGATGTTTGACGGCCTTTTCAGGTGCCGCGCCCGAAGTTGCCAGAACATAGCCCACTTGATGGAAGCTGGATCCCCAGAAGGGAGTCTTCCACTGATTGATGGCCTCCTGGATTCAGAATTAGACATTTTCGTTTGTTGGAACTGGTCCAGAGCACCGGCTTCGCGCGGAATGGCTACTTACAAGTGCCAATTCTGTATAGAAGTTATCTTCATACTCTGCTCGGACGATCTTGTTCAAATCGTATGCTCCAGAATATGGTGAGGGTATCTCTGAGGCCTGGTCGAAGACTGTGATGTTTGTGTAGCCCGCATTGAAAAGGTGCAAGGCCGTCGACAAGCCCCAAGCTCCCGCCCCAAGGATCGCGATGGGTTCGTTCTTGTCCAGAGCCATTCTCTCTATTCAAATCACAATACGTGATGAATTTCTCCTTTGCGCTTTTGGCTCCCTGTAAATCTACTAAATAGTTGGAGGATGATATTGGAGACAAGATCCACCTTTTCGTGTTCCGCTACTTCATTGGTATGTTCTTGTGATCCTGAGCGATACGAGGATGTTACTCTTCGGATCGGATGCCGTCCCGATATTGACTCGTCCTAATTTCACCTTTTCCATTCGCTCCGAATTCTCGCCATAATCGGCTTATACGGGTCCGGATCTATATTCTCATTGTTGTTACATGTGCTGTTGACGTTGGAGTCCTAATGAAGAGAATGATTCTGCATGTGGGAATTGACCATTTTGGCTATAGGCCAATGCGCATTTGACTTGATGAACGCCCTTGAAGCATGAAACGTGCTTCCCATACATTCAAATCCTGAAATTGGCTTTCTGAACAGGAACGAAGCATACTAGAGAAGCGACTTGTCGACTGTACCCAGACCACCCCTACAACCACGAATAATATGACTGCCGCAACACCAACTACGAGGATTGGAAATACTTCTACAAACACAATAGCCGGTGCCGCGGGAGGCGTTGTCTCTGTTCTCCTTGGTGAGTTGCTACCTCCAAAGTTGGAATGATTGCTGATTGTTCTGTGGAAAACAGGTCAACCATTTGGTGAGGAATGACCATCTGAATTGCTAACCACAATGCTCATATTCCTATTTCTATGCAGATCTGATAAAGGTGCGACTGCAGACTCATGGCTCTGGCAACGTCATCCAAGTTGTCTCGCGAATTCTCAGAAATGAAGGACCACTAGCATTCTACAAGGTAAGCAGTCTCAACCCATCGTGCGTTTGAATGCATTTATCTCTAACCATCTCTGGAGGGTGCTCTGCTACCTTTCCTAGGAGTGGGAGCGGCAGTAAGCATTCAGTTCTCTGTCTTTCACAGCGCGACGCAGGCGCTGAATGCCCTGAGAGCGAGAGATTCTCAAAGAGCCGCACAGCAGCCGACCCTTCTAGATCTATACCTGGCTGGTGGCATCGCCGGGATTGCCAACAGTGTGGTATCAGGCCCTGTGGAACACATCAGAACCAGACTTCAGACGCAACCGCATGGTGCCAACCGACTCTACGCCGGTCCATGGGACTGCATAAGACAGATAGCCGGTACTGCTGGCGCCAGAGGGTTATTTCGAGGACAAAACACGGCTATTCTGAGAGAGTTTCAAGCATACGGTCTATACTTTGCCACCTTTGAAGCCTGCGTGAGGACGATTGCCGCAGCCAAGGAGACGAAGCGGAACGAGTTGCCGACATGGATCGTTGCTTCGTGTGGTGCTTTGTCGGGCATAGCATTCTGGGTGGGAAGCTATCCTCTAGACACGGTGAAGACAAAACTCCAGAGCGACGGGTTTGGTCAGCATCGACGCTACAAGAATGCGTGGGGAGCCACGGTAGAGACCTGGAAGAGTGGAGGATCCAGAGCCTTCTTCCGCGGCCTCGGCCCAACGTTATTGAGGACGATGTTGTCTTCGGGTGGGACGTTTGCGATGTAAGTTCACGTTCTCTGCATTGTTCTAGGGAAATGCTAACTGTGCATCTAGGGTCGAGAATGTCAAAAGACTTCTTGCATAGGAATTTCAGGGGTATAGAGAATAGCGTAGATAGTGCTTTGCCATGAATAATGAATGTATGTAATCAACATGAACCTGTCCTTGATAAGAGTGTTGTGTAGCTGTTGTGGCCTGTGCTCCATCAACCTTGTCACTTGCATCTCATCTAGCTCCGCATGTGTCGTCCATAATTAGAAAGTCATACTCCGAACACTGAGAATAATTATTGGGATAAATTTCCTTTCTGGGTATTGTTTTACCACATTTAATGCCCTCCGCCCTTTGAGTCCGGCCCGCCACCCGAGAAAGATTGTCCCCGCATTTGTATAAAATCCGCACTTGATTTCCTCCTTCAGCCTGCCCTACGCTTTGGATAACTTCTGTAATCCTCTATGTGGCCTCGGTTCCTTATCCACGATGGTTGAAGTCAGAAAGTACCAACTCCCACCTACGGAGCTCATCCCGAACTCTCCTCGACCGCTCCTCCACTATCCTGGGATTCTGCTCTCGTCACCCTCCATCACCACGGCGGCCTACGACGCATTTTCTGATAACGGATGGCGCGTCCAGTGGATCTTCCGCTACGGTTCCACCCAGGCGTCTCACTACCACTCGACGACCCATGAATGCATGGCCGTGCTCTCGGGGACGGCGACTATCCGATTTGGGGTGGCAGACACGGTTCCCGACCCGGACGAGAACACCCACGGTTCCGGTAAGGAGGACGGGGGCATCGAACTGCAGGCAAGCGCTGGCGATGTCTTTGTCATCCCTGCCGGTGTTGCACACAAGACATTCGATACCCAGCCGGCGGCCGAGTTCAAGCTGCTCACCCCTGGCGACGGACATAACATCCCGGCCAAAGACGTGAGAAGTGCTCTGGAGAAGCTGCAACTCGATGGGTTCACCATGATCGGCGCGTACCCCGAAGGCGGAGCGTGGGACTTTGCAGAAGGTGGAGAGAGCGCCGGTCACTATGAGGATGTATGGAACGTGGCCGCGCCGGAGAAGGATCCTGTGCTGGCAAAGGCTGAGGAAGGTCTCTGCGGGCAATGGAAGTAAGAGGCTGGTGGCCAAGAATGGATGCTCTCAATGCCAGTACACTGTCTAAGGCTTTTACTAGGTCTGTTTCTTTCTTGCTTGTATATTTCATAGGTGATGCTTCGCAAAATATTCCTCTGTTCCAACCTCGCATACTTGATATCTTGTCTTGTGTATGACGATCATGACACTGTCCAAGGACGATGGAATATATCTCGGATACGTAACCGGCCTTGGCATTCCGTGGGTAATGTGTTTAGTCCAATGTCCCCGTGACTCAATCGCGACGAACCAAATCTATCAGTGGTAATATAGACAGCAAAGTGCTAAACGCGACTGGTAAACTATCAAAATCCTGTAATCCATTGTCGAGAATCCAGAGACCTTGTTCATGTTTGCGCGCAAAAATGCCCATCCAATCCACTCCCAAACCCCTCCGTGTCGCCATCCTCGGTTGTGGTATGTTTGTTGTACGCACGAATGCTAATCCCCGTTCTAACACGAGCTCTGTCCAGGGTTCATGGGCACCGCACTGGTCCAGGGCATCATCGACAGACTGGACGATACTTGCCAATACGACCTCAAATTCTCGGTCAGCGCCCGCTCCAGCGACTCGATCGATCGACTGCAGCGAAAATTCGAGTCGCACAAAGATCGTGTGGACATCATCACCTCGGACAACACCTATGCGGCTCGCAATGCAGACTTGGTCATCTTGGCTTTTCAGCCGCAGCAACTCGCCACAATTATGGACAGCGATGGCCCTCTGGTCCAAGCCCTCGAGGGAAAGCTGCTTGTCTCCATATTGGCCGGGGTCTCTTCCTCGCAAGTTGCTCAAGCGGTGATCATATCGCCCACCACACAGCACCGTGTCTCTCGCGCTATACCCAGTATTGGCGCGCAGATCAGTGAATCCATGACTCTGATAGCCGACACGCCACTCTCTGGCCCTGACCGGGACCTGGTCTCGTGGCTGTTTCGCCGCGTCGGCCCTATCCAGATGGTGCCTGAGGACCTCATCAACACGGCGACGGCGGTGAGCGCTGCATGCCACGCTTTGACCGTGGTTGCCGTCGACGCCATCATGGATGGGAGTGTCGCAGAAGGTATCGCGAGGCCGGTGGCCCAGAATATTGCCGCTCAGTGCCTCCGCAGCGCGTCGACGCTCCTGCGTGACCAAATGACCATTGAGTCCCTGAAGGAATCGATGTCGATCGCCAGAGGGATTACCATCAACGCGCTCCTGCAGTTGGATCGGGGACAGGTCAGAGCTGGGATTTCGGATGCTGTGAGGTTCGCGGCGCAATACTCTAAGGGGATGTCGGAGGAGAAGTGATAGCGAGGCAACTGATCATGATTTGTATAAGGCAATAAGATAATATTGATCTACCATTCTGGGGGGTTTTTTTTTTCATTCATTCTAACCCACGTTTCTCTGCGCATGGGCACAAGTTTCTTCAGATCGACTACCTGTGGTTCTCTCTTCATAGACGAGACTGGGGTTTCACCGAAATCTCCTTCTCTTCTCGGTTCAAAGCCTCCATCACCGTCTGGATTGAGCGTTTGACAGTGTCGGTCGGTTCTTCGTACGGCCTCCGGGGCTTGAGCAAACGCACAGCATCCGCGATGCCCGCCCTGGGAGCCGTGAAGATGGCAGCCGCGTATTTTGTGTTGGCGATGCCTGCCTTGGTGGCTGTCTCGGCGGATGCTACCAACTTCTGCAGTGCGAGAGCCTCGCTGTACTGTCCACTGGACCACAACTCGTAGATCCTGGCCACCACTTTGGGGAAGACGTTACAGAATGCTCCTATACAGCCTGCGCTCCCCGAAGCGAGTCCCCCGACCAGGAAATCTGACTGTCCACCAAAGACTGCGAAACGTGTAGCGGGAAATCTGGAAGCGAGACAGGTGATCTTTGCCACGGAACCACAAGTCAGTTTCACACCGACAATGTTGCGTGACTCCCGTGCGATATCCGTGATGATGTTGGCGTCGAGGTCCAGCCATTGCAAACCGCCGGGAAGTTGTAGATGAGGATGGGCAGGGGAGAGCTCGCGGCCACCTCTTTATAGAATCTCTTGACCACCGCCGGCGTGGTCTGCTTGCCGAAGTACGCGCAAGGGAGAACCAGCACGTAGTTGGCACCAGCGTTGTATGCGTCTGTGATGAACTCGAGCACCTGTGCCGTCGAGTGGCCGCTCGTGCCGGCGATTATAGGATAACCCTCTGGAACAGATCGTCGCGCCAGCTGGAGGAGAGTCATCCGCTCCTCGCGTGTCAACAGGAACGTCTCTGCGTTGGTCCCCAGGATGACAAGCCCCGTGAGTCCCGTGCTGGCCAGGTACGAGTAGTACTTTGCTTGAGCGTCGAGACATAGTCGGTCCGTCTCAGGATCGAAGAATGTCACCGCCGGTACATAGCACCCCGCTGGCGGAGCAGTTGGGTAGCCGCTTGCTTCTGCCTGGTCATTGGAATTGTGCACTTGTTGTAGAGCCATGGTGAGTGAGGGTGGTCGATCTAACAATGATTACCCTCTCCATCGCCTCGATGCTTTCAGCAGCCTGTATCTTTATAAAGGGAAGTATACTCCAGAGTCGATCCATTCCATTACTGGGAGCATGAAAACATCGGATGCCCTCCCGATAGTGGATCTACCTACACGAGGTATAGTAGCGGATCCCACTTCATGTCCTACGCCTTGGGCGGATCCCGTCCGGCGAGTCCTGCCGGGTGACATTTTCTCCAGAATGGCTACGGAAGGCACGGGTATTTCAGGGAGTCGGAGAAATAGAAACTTGCTGATCATTCGCTATCATATATGTGAGGCAGAAACCCGGTCTCGCTTCTGCTCGGACTGGAAAGCCTAGGATATGCTCTTGGTCCTGAGACCGGAGTATTACGTCTGTGGTCGTAGCTCTAAAGTAGATAGTAGAACGGTGACTTATTGTCCTGCCTCCGCGGACAACCAGTCCAAAGCAGTCAAATCCATCGAATCTGCAAAATTCAAAAGCTGCTCCGCCGTGATCCCATCCTGCCAAGTCAATTCGTCCATGGGAAAGTCATTACTGCTTGGCTGAGAGGAGGCGGTGTAGGGTGGTGGCGCAATCGATACCAGTGACGGCTGAGCTGTAGCACAGGCGCGAGGGTGGCGGTCATCAAACCCCAGAGAACCACGAAGACTTGGGTGGCGTGTAAAGATGACAGGTTGGTTCTCCTCGTTGGAGGAAAGTCTATTGAGGATGTTTTCCAGCTGTTGAAGCTCGGATTTGATCATCCTAGCGACTCTGTTGCCGCGAGATATCATCTCATCGAAAACTGCATGTGCGCGCTGTAACCAGGGGGAGCAGTCCTTGAGCAAAGATGGATCTACTGTTGCTGCCATCAATAGTGCTATTGCTGATGTGAATGCGGCGTCAAGGTCAAACGGAAGGAAGCTTTCTATAACATTTTGTCAGCCGACCAAGTTATTATAGTGTTTGTTAGCACACTGACCGAGGAGACTGTGATCTTGTAGAGCAGAGAGGATCGTGATCATCTGTTGAGCCGACTCAATGCACATTTGTAGTAAAGTCCGCACGCTTCCTGATTGAAGCAACTCGACCAGATTTATGTTGGATTGCCGGAGCTTCGATTCAAGAAATGTATATAGAATCGGCCTCGTCGTAAGCACAATGCACTTGTCCATTGTCAGAATTTCCAGAGAATTCAGTGAGCTCATCCTGATAGACTTACCTGGTGGTACAGGAGGTGCAGATACGCCGAGAGCCTTGAGATGCTGGTCTTGGAGCTGTTACCCAGAACCTCGAAAGAGCCGTTCAGTTGGTCGGTAACATTCGCAACACTTTTCAGGGCGTCTTTGGTGATGGTCAGGAAGCGTTTGTCTAGCCGCCCTTCGGCTCCGTACACAGCTGGTCATTGTCAGCATCGCATACCGCAATCAATTTGGGTCCCACTCACTATTAAGTATTTGTGCCAAAACTCTGGAGAGATTTATCTGGATATTCATTGCCGTTGATCTTTGAGGCTGGCCGGAGAAGGTGGGCAACTCTGCGGATATTGATTCGTCCGCGATTCCCATCGGTACACCCATGAGCGACGACATTTGACGATCCAGGATATAGACTGTCCACCAGACTTTGCGACGCCTTTGTGACAAGTCACTGTCAACTTGTTGGCTCCGCATTTCTGTATGCATGCCATTCTCCAAAGCCGTACGCAGGGCTTGACCGATCTGAGACGCGTCAGCATAATCGAGACGAATATTCAAGAGAAACGTACTATGCGATATGCGGCCCCACGGAAATCGAGGCATTGCAAATAAAGAGCGGCACAGCAGAGGACTTGTATCGCTTCGATGGGATCAGCACTGTAGAATGCAAGATCCGGCATCAGCTTCATCGCGTAGACGAAGAGCTCAGCCCCCGGAGGTTTGCGACCCTTTTTGCTTTGCACCACAAATGCCTTCCCAAAGGCGAGGATCAGAAGATATTGGATGAACCAGAGACTGGAGGGGACTTGGTTGGGGTTTTCGTGAAATTGAGAGAATTGTTGCATAAACTTGTCTTCCTCAAAGAGATGGAAGAGTTGCCCGCAGTGGAACTTGACCGCATTGATCAGGTACATTGCGAAATCTGCGGACGGAAGGGCAGGAGCCTCGGACGGGGACTCGGGCGAAGTGTTTCTCTTCCCATCCCACCCTAGATCGTAGGACTTGCCCTCGAAGAGCAAGTTGTCTGGAGGGAGAGGTGCCCGCATCACTCTCTCGTGGGTCATTGCAAGGACTCTTCGCCCAAAGGACCAGTTGGACGATGTCCCTAAATAGACTGAGGGAAAGTGCTCAGTAAGTCAAGTCGCAGCCTGGCAACACGATATAGAACTTACTGGGTCTGCCACTTGTGTCGGCAAAGTAGCTGGGAAAACCAAGCGCAAGGGGATTCATGAGTGACGCCCCTGGGGAACTCCGAAGAGATTGAGGGTTGTCTTGTGATCTGGGTAGTGACTGAGCATATGAGATGTCTGGTTGGTCTAAATTGATCTGATTATGTTCAACAGCGCTACTGCTTTTGGGGTCGTCGTCCTCGGTTTCGTCGTTCTCGTCTTGTAGTGGTCAGGACAAGGTGATACGCAACAAGCACCGCAATGCTTACCTAGTTCCAATGTCTCATCAGGGGTTCCTTGTTCGTCTGGCGCAGCTGTGGCAGCGGTGGTCCCTCGGCTTTGTTGCTCAAACGAAGCCACACGTTTCTCGAGGTCGTTGATGTAACTGTAAGGCTTTAGCTAAAGGGACAAGTCGTAAAGCACCAGCGCCAACTGACCCTCTTGTCACCAGAATCTTTTGCGCGTGGTCATCAAAATGGCATGTCAACTTCCTCTTGGCACAAGCTTCACAAGGACGGGACCCGGTGCACCTGATCTTCTGGCGACGACAGCGTCGACAACTTTCGAGACAAGAGGTCAGCACTCTGCAAGAGGTCTGGGGGCGAAGAACCACTTACGCTTTGGGCGCACGTTTCTTTGAGCTGCCCTGGTTCTCTGCCTCAATGAGCTCCATAACTGTCGAGTGATGGAAGACTTCTAGAATCCCGGTAATGCCTGCCGCTTTCTTCGGCGAGGCGGAGGTGATAAATGAGCTTTGGTGACGAGTTGAGTATATGGAACGGCGAGCAACATTCGGGCCGGTCGAGCGGGGTATGATAGAAGTCGGGACAGTTCCCGATGTTGTATGGGAGGCTGATACGACTAGCCAGATGAGGAAAAAGGACCCGTCTATCATCAAGTCCCACTTTGGACTTCATCACCATCTTCCAATATGCAACCCTTGAGACAGGGTCTAGACGAGATCATCACGGTAATCCCCCATCGCGTCTTGACGCTCAGCTTTCACATGTGAAATATATGCCACATAAACACCATGACTGCTATTGTCATTGAAGGAGAAGTACATTCCCGAAGCCAACCTAACGAGAGAGGCTCTGTCCCAGTTCGAGATTCCCTTTTCCCCCAGCATGGCAGTATGATTAACACATAATAACATATCTAAAACGTAGAACTGGGGATCCGGGGCACTCCAGAAACAACGTACAAGGTATGTCCTGGCGCCCTTCGAGCCTTGTTCCAAGGCGTTGCGGAAATATCGGAACGGCTGCCGTAGCGGCCGTTCCGATAGGGCTCTATCGAGTTCCACTGCTGCATTCCCGGTAGACCTACCGGCGCCTCAAGGCGCGTTTGACTGTCAGCCTCTACCCAAATTCTTTTCCCACTTTCTCAGAGCTGATTGATGGACGGTAGCGCTCTGTCTCCGAGTGAAACGGCGCTCGGCGATCAGCAGGGGAGCAATGGACTTCCGATGCCCTGCACACGGCCCGGCCAGATGGCCGTCTGAAATTTGCGGGTGCAGGTTGCTGGGTTGAATATTTCCTCATTAGAATGAAACGTACATATTCTACTCTGTTTCCCCAGAAGATTCTCCTGTCACAGGTCACACCAAAAACATCTCTCCAACACAGCCGCATTTTCTACGACCTGGAATCGTCTTGACACTGGCTCCTTTCCACGAGATGTTGACACGCGCAGTTCATCCGACTACTCCTTGTCGCCAGGCAGTTCTTAACCTCAGTCAAGCGCGCGTTTTAACCCCACGTGCATCCGTAAGGAGGAGGCTCCTCTCCACGGCTGGGGCCTACAAAACTCCCAAGCCATTCAATGAGCCAAATGTAAGGTTCATAATACCAACTACTGCTGCACCTTAGCTAACAGAAGGCTAGCTACACTACGCGCCATCATCCCCGGAGCGGGAGAAGTTGATTGTAGCAGTCCAAGAGTTGCGACAAAAGCTTCCAGTTCGTGTACCGTCAATAAGAAACGGACAAGACGAACCTGCCCAGCCGAGCTCATCTGATGCGGAGACATATATTCCATCGGAGATCTCATCAGTCTTTGCCAAATACACTCCGACAATAGAGGCGGAGGTATCAGCCGCCATCGAAGCGGCGCTCAAGGCCAAGACGGCATGGCAGAACACACCTTTTGTCGATCGGGCGGCCGTTTATCTCAGAGCAGCTGAACTGGTATCCGGAAAGTATCGATTCGAACTGATGGCAGCGACGATGCTTGGGCAAGGGAAAAACGCGTGGCAGGCAGAGATTGATGCAGCTGCCGAGCTGGCTGACTTTTTCCGTTTCAACGTCTCGTTCGCCGAAGAGATCTATTCCAGGCAACCTACGCTGAATGAGCGGGGGCAAGCAGGGTGAGTTGAGCCTCAACCAATTTGATATGTGCGAAAGGTCCACTGACGGACAATCTAGACGCACCGATTGGCGTCCTCTGGAAGGCTTTGTGTATGCCATTTCGCCGTTCAACTTCACAGCCATCGGCGGAAATCTCGTGTCTGGTCCGTCGCTCCTTGGCAACGTCGTCCTTTGGAAACCTTCTCCTTCCAACGTATACGCGAGCTACCTGGTATACAAGATTCTTCGCGAGGCTGGCCTCCCACCGAAT